TGTGGTTGAGGAAATAGAAAGGATTTGGTTTGATGACCCTAAGGTTGCATCGGATTCGCTTCCGCTAGAGATTTGTTCTATTTCCTGGAGGTCTATCGTAGGGACCACTAACTCGCGGTCTGTATCGCTAGCATTGATTGCGTGAAGGTATGCCCTTCCACCCGTGATTAGTGACTATCGCTTCTCCGAGGAATACGTTTTCGCAGACGCTAAGACGCGGGACGTATCCTACTGCGACGTCGAATTTTGTACGTTGACGTAGAACGTTGAGCGCGATCGAGCAGGTACTACTATAGTTTCGCGCTGCGAGAAAGGAATTTGAATATTTCGCCAGTACACTGACCCTTCCTTGAGATTAATGCTGCTAGCATCTTGAGGAAGTCGGATCCTAGGATCCTTCTTGAAGGATTGGGAAATTATTTGGTACCGCGTGGAGATAGAGGGATAACCCATGTACACGATTTTCGGCGGACCCGAGTGTTTTTATCTTCTCGTTTGTTATACCGCTAAGGTACAACGTGTCATCTTGACGATTTTAACCTCGGGATGTAGATTTCGAATTTTAATGAGATTAGGGGCGGCCCCGTATCTATCATAAATGTTGTTTCTTGTAAAAGTCCGTCAGCAATTAAGGCGACGGTGGGCGCGTGTGAATGACCGGGTAAATTTAATGTTGCGATTCTGGCTTCTCGGTACTCGTTCCTTCGACTAGATTTATCGGACGGGTCGTTTGGGGAGAAGCCCCTTGGTGAAGTGTACCCGACCTTTCCGCAGGGCTCGATGCGTTCCCGTCTCATTCTTCCGCGCGTTATTATTGTATCGCGTTTTCTACACTCCTCGATTTCGTGTCCATTTTTTTACAATAGCGACACCATTTGTTAAGGCGGTCATTTTGACGAAGAGGAGCATTATTAGAGTTCGCGTTATTATAGGTTTGCCGTCTGTCGTTGTAGGCTAGACGATCCTCTCTTTCTCGCGTTACAGGGGGTCTCGCGTAATTGTTACGCGATAATTATTCGGATAACGCTCTCGAGAATAATTTCATTACGCGGAATAGTATCAGTTTGCGCCTGGCGTGTATATCATTACGTGGGGGGTCCGGTTCGCGACGGTCGCGCGGCTTATTTCGATCTCTGTCCAGATCCTCTCTCTTTGCAAGTTCCTTTGCCCTTGCAAATGCCTCAAACGTACGGAGAAAAGGCGTCTATCCATCTGCAGTATGTACTGAAGAGGTAGAGTCACAGAATGATCGTGCCGTGAGTTCGTCGATTTCGAGAGCAATTTCGTCGTTCACTTCCCGTTGTACGGCGCTTGGCATCTAGGATCGCGGATCTGAGTTCCTTAACACGACTAATGTAATCTAAACATATGCTCGTGTGGTTTCAAGTAACATCGTACTAAGTTCTCCTTTATATTGATCGATTGTTTCGCGGAGCCAAAAGCGTTATTGAGTAGGTCTATTAATTGTACGACACTTTCGCAAGGTTCGTCCTCGACGGCGTAATAGGCGCGTCCACGAAGTTTAGTTTTTAGCAGAGCAGTGAGGTTCCGCTCCGAGGAAGGAGAATGATTTCCCGAGCGCGACGACATACTCGCGTGAATTGCCCTAGTGGTACGTTATATCCGTCGAAAAAAGGTACAGATTCCGTTGCTTCGCGAAAAATGAGACCTGGGGAGTTGAGGCGACTCCATATGTGGGCCGGGTTGTCCGTTTGAATCGTCGAGGGACAATAAGGGTTGTCCAGAGAGCCGTAGAGACGGGCTGGTCTCTCTGCGGAGACGAGCTACTTCCGGCGCAATTCCTCCATTTCAGCGAGGATGCTATCTTTTAACGCCGTCATTTCTCGAGGAGCGGCGTCTCCGACGTTTTTTGCATTATTTCTCTAAGGGTTTCCAACTCGCGCCTCTCTTATCCTGCTTTTACGTTGGTCGGTTAGGTAGGCGGCTTCGTCTTTCAAACATTTTCTTTAGACCTTAACGGCGGCTTCCCTAGTCTTAGTCTAGTCGAGTTTCAGCTAACTCGGTTTCTCGTTGTTTTAGTTTCAACTGAATTTCAGCTAACTCTGCTTCGGAAAACTCTTTCCTCGTTCCCTCCTTTTTCTACCGAATCTTCCCTTTCTCCTTGTTTCCGGCGCGTGTCAACCATAACTCGGAAATTACGTATCCCACCGCTGTCACCAATTTGTTACGTCCCGTTCGAGTCGCGCGTGTTATTCGCGAGTGTATGATTCGCGTTGCACGTACTCGAACTATTGCGCGAGACAACGTCGATTACGGAAATTTTCGGGGATACCACGACGAAGGGTTTTCCGACAAAGCCCAGATAGCACAAGGATGTCTAATGTATGTCCAGTGAATATCCATTCTTGGACATTGGGACATCCTTAAAAATCCAAATAAGGTCCGTCGGACATTCGATGAACGTCCATTAGATGTACATTATGCACAACTTAGTACGTCCACAGAATGTCCGAAATATAGCCAACTTTGGATCAATTATGGATTGATTTTGGATCTATTATGGACTGATTTAGGATTTATTCTTTTAATTGTAAATATTAATTAAAAACTACAATTAAATAAATTTTGTTTAGTTTTATTTTTATTTTATGAATAATACAATCATGTGTTAAAAATATTTAACACAAAACAATATATAATTTTTATATTATTTTTATACGATAAACTTTGGTATAGGAAGAACAGCCGTTTAATAAAATACTATTAAGTTTTTAATACTTATAATATTATATATATATTAATAGTTAAATAACTTTTCTTCAATATCAATAACTTATTTCATCTATGTAATAATAATCGAAGTCATATACATATAGCTAGTTTATATCTTAACGCATTTTATAAAAATTGTTCATTTTGTTAATACAATTATCTATTTTTTACCATTTAAGTCGCGCGCAAATCCGTATATATCAGAGATATTTTTTTATTGTGCGTAAACACGATATAAGTCCTCATATATTAATTTGGTTTTCTACTGTGAGAGTTCAGTATCAGCAATATATCAATAACTATCATCTAATATAAAAATACATTTTTATATTAGATGAAAGTTATTGATATTGCTGATATTGAGCTCTCACAGCAGAAATATGAAATTATGAGGCCTTATCGTGTTTACGCACAATACAAAAAAAATTTCTGATATATTATATGGATTTGCGCGCGACTTAAATGGAAAAAAAATAGATAATTGTATTAACAAAATCCGTAATATTTTAACATACTTTTAACGCAATCTATGTGCGCAGAACAAAAACATAAAAATTCTTTTAACATACTTTTAACGCAATCTATGTGCGCAGAAAGAACAAAAACAAAAATTCTTTTAACATACTTTTAACGCAATCTATGTGCGCAGAACAAAAACAAATTCTTTTAACATACTTTTAACGCAATCTATGTGCGCAGAACAAAAACATACAAATACTGTGGAATAAACAAAGAAATAAAGTAAAAAGGGAAAGAAATACATATATATAACGAGTATATATAAAATTATATGAAATGTTAACGAAATTAAATATCTTATAAATCTTTTGTCCGTAAATAATCTAAATATTGTTTAACGTGTTATTTATACGTTTAAATTAAATTTGACGGCGTGTTTATAGAAAATCTATCTTTTTCTTAATATAATGTCGCTCAGAAAACAACTAAACAAAAAATAAAAATAATGCAATAAATAAAACTTGTCTTTGATCACACATATCAGTTGAATAATCGAAGTCATATGGCTTATATCTTATAGCATTTTGTAAAAATTATTCATTTCATATTCGCCAATTTTGTTTCACTTGCATCGAATCGTTCCTTTGCTCTTCGTAGCCACTTTTGTGCAGATTCTTCTATATCCTTTTTCGTAAATGATTCGTTGTATCTTTCCCCTGCAGCTGTAATATAGAATATAAATCGAGTAAAAATGTTTTTGAATCAGTTAATTATTTACTTTAGAGGTCTTCGACTTTTTACGTTTTAAGCTGTTAACTATTTCGCAAATATTGTATGTTGCATTAGATTTATAGACCTTTGATATAATACATACATATATATATATATATATACAATATACATATATATATATATAATACATATAAACGTTAAATAAACAAATCAAAATCCGGAAATCTAGACAGAAAGATCGTAAAAAATTTAATTTTTAAATTAATTTAGATAATATTATTTTTACCAATTAACATTTCCGCCAATTTCAATTCATAAAACTTCTTTTTATGTTTCTTTCCAAACCAACTGTAGGTTTGTGCTAATTTATTACTTAGAAGTTGGTTCAAATTTCGTTTCACAAATTCATAGCAATGTTTGCCACCAGTACGTAATGCTTCTGTTACCTGCAATTTGTGTGTTAATGTTTATTATTTTATAACTTTAAATATTAATTTATAAAAAAAATGGTATGCATATAAGATATATATGTATCTGTGTGTGTGTGTGTGTGTGTGTGCGTGTGTGTGTGTGTGCGTAAACATACACATTTATATGTACATAATAGCAAATACATAGTAAAATAAAATATTTACATCTAAAAAATTAAAGTATTTAATATAAAAACAAAATACGTTACCGATGTCTCAAAATTGACTTGTTTTTTAAAAATTGCTCGACTTCTTGTAATTCTTCTTCCGTTTCTAATGGAAGTGTAAAAAAACAGAAAACTGATTCCTGTCTTTGAATGCCATTATTAATGCCATTAGATTGATTTAATCCAATATTTTTTATCTCTCGAATGTCTTCGGACGTTTGCCACAATTGCGCCTTGAAGTAATTTTGTTGACGAATTATTTCTTTAAAATATATTTCTGGAGAAAAACAATTATTACAAATAATTTTGTATAAACATATATACGCAATGAATTAAAAGTAATATATATATACCATTTTTATTCTGCATTTGAACGTGTGCTGGACAAAGGTGACACGTGCATTCGAAATTAGTAAATGGTAAATTTTCTTTTTCTTGAATTAACACAATTGACCTCAAAATTATTGTCCTGTTGTGCAGCTACCTGTTTGTCTATAGCTTTCAATTTTGTAAAATAATAAAATTAGTTTAATAAATTAAATATAAAAATATTTTTTCAATATTTCTTAATATTATATAATAATAATAATTAGCGCTACGCGTGTCTCCCACGAAATGGGAATTATTTAAACTTTCACATCTTTTGTAATAGTAAATAATATTCCATCTTTAGATTACAGTTATGCATTCAAAAATACCATATTATCTGATTATTGATGCCTTTTTCCAGACTTCTTATAAAAAATATTATATATAACAATACATTATACATATAATATCACTTTTTATAGTTTACTATTAATTGTTAATAATTAAACATACCTTTTATACGCTCGAGCTTTTTCAGAGACAAATTATGTTGAAAAGACTCTCCAGAACATGAACTTCTTGATGTGTTACTTCTTGCATCTTGTGTTATTGCAACTTCTTCATCGGTATTTTCTCTTACCTCATCTTGTCCATAATTGTCTATAAATATAGATAAAATTTTCATATATTATTTATATTTATTTATAATTATATATTTACTTTTTATTTTTAGAGTTAAATATTTAAGTATTAATATTAAAATGTAAAACTTTTGTTTAAAAATAATGAAAAATATTTGGAAAAAGGAGAGTGTTATGTATGTGTGTGTATATATATGTATGTAATATTTAATTGTAGAGTCATGAATTATTAAAGAGACTTTATCTTAACTTATCGAGATTTTCTGCACGCAGATGTATACACTCACGCGTAGAAAATCTCCGAAAAGTTAAGATAAATTCTCTTAAAATTTTATGACTACAATAAAATAAATAATTCTTCCTAAAGATTTAAAAATACAATACATACATTTATTATAAAAAAATTAATGTTACTTATAAAATAATGTAAATAAACCTTTCAAAGAAGGAGGTGTCGGCACAAAATTGTATCTGCATTCGTCTTCTGAAGAAGAAGAAAAAAATTGCTTTTTCCTAATTTTCCTCTTTTTCTTCTCTTCACCAGACATTTCCGAGTTTAAATCTGATGTATTTTCAGCTTTTTTACACTTCTCCCTTGCTGTTATGTAATCATCTAAAAATGTGGAAATAATTAAATAGTTAATAATTTGTATCAATATATAATAATTGACTATGAATCACTTCATATCATAATATATTTTTTATTAATAAACTCTTGAATAAGTTCCAAAACGTACTGTAAGTGCTATTTCGAAAAATGGTTATTCCATATGAAGGCCAATGTATATCCGGCTCTTCATTTTTTCGAATTGCTGCTATTACTTTATCTTGTTGGAAAGATGGCCAATAACAACGATTATTATTAATCCATGCAGTTGGTACGGCTTCAACTGAATTTTCTTTGTTGAATTTTACAACAGTCCACGATGATCCCGGCATATTTATTTGAAAACAAAAACTGTATACAAGTACATTGAAAGAGAAAAGAAAAAGAGAGAGAAAAGGGAAAGCAGAAGAGAGAAGGGAGAGAAGGAGAGGGGGAGAGAGGAGACAGAGAAAATGTATTGCATGCAATTATAATATTTAATTCGAATGTAAAAGGGGAAACACAACATACTGATCTTTATATTTTAATTTTAAGCATTTATATACAATTTGCGCTATGTTACATCTGTAAGTTAGTTTCAAGATTATCGACTAAATAAATACCTAATTGAGATGATCTGCAGGGTTCAGAATAAAAATCAATGAATGACTTATATTTATGTCCATTACAAAAATATCTTTATCATTTGAAAAACAAATTCTTAACAACTATAATAGCTCTATCACTTAAATAACAACAATTATCAGGTTCATCTGTTTTTAACGTATAGTTTTCAAAAGTAACTTTACTAAATTGTTTGCATATCTGAAAATCTGAATGTGAATTTAAATTATTAATGAGTGGACCGTTAAAATGCGGATTGTGAAGTTTACTATTAACTGTCTTTAGTTTTGATTATCATTAACACAAAAATTTCGTTCACTTATTCGACAAACAATTTGTTCTAATACTTTATCATTTTTACGAACCATTTTTAAAATTGATTGCAAATAATTTTCAAATGGAAAAGCGCTAAATTCCTGCAGAGTTCCAAATTTTATTGCGTCATCATGAAGATGTAATAAGTTATGAATATTACTCGATGTATTTTGTTTGCCATATAGAATAATGAAGGTTTTCACAAAGTATTGTAATAATAATTTGGCATAATCTGAATAACGATTCATAAGCTTAGAATTTGATAAAATTCTAACAGCTACATGCAAAGTTAAAAAATTAATATATCTATCATAATTAAGAATAGATTTCAAAACAACAGGTCCCGTATACAACAAAAATGTTCTGAATTCAGTTGCTTTCCACCTTTTACATTCAAATAATGATCTGTTTTTTCGATTAATTTCGCATGGCACATTAATCTTTTGAATTTCTAACTTTTTCGATATTTCACTCATTTCCTTAAATGATAATTTAGATCGGGGTGTTCCAAAGCACCACAATTTGACAATTAATTTTTGACAACTCCCAGATAAAGCAAATGCATTGGATCTGATGGAAAATCTTTTACCATATCTATATTAGGAATTGATTCTAGAATAGATGTACCTGTATGATGGTCTTTTTGTAATTTTAGTCTAAAATCATGATTGTTCTTAAAGGAAAACTATTTAAATATGGATAACATACTCGATCATGAATATTCCCCTTTTGCTGTACATTTCGGGCATGAATAATAACCGGAATGACCCTTTGTAAGTAATGTAAAAAGATTTAGCAGGTACGTCGATATAAAAGCATTAATTTTAAATGAATAAGTTCGATCATTAATTGTTATACCGTGAGTTGTTAAAATAATGCTTCATCAATGAAATCTTTTAAAAAAACGTTTGCATCTGCCGGCTTTTCATTCCCGTAATAAATTCCAACAATATTACTTCATTATAATTTTCAATTAAATTGCATAAAATAGAATAAACTTGACCGCTTGAACTTTTAAATAAAGGGAGGACCATCAATATTAATATTAACTTTAATAAACTGCAAATGTTTAATAGAATACCGCGACAAAAGTTGCTTGACACAATTACTTAAACCGAAATGATAATACTGCCCCGGTGGTTACGTTTGTACATTTATTTTCTGGGAGTTTTCAATAAGCTACGAGCATCTGAAGGTAATTCCGGATATTTAGATTAATAGTGTCATTAATCATT